AGCTGCTGCATCCCAGCTCCACAGGGAGCTGTTGTCGGCCGGCACCATGGGGCCGGGCCCGGTGCCGGTGCCGCGGAGCTCAGCGGCGTGTCCCGCCCCGCGCTGCCCGCAGGGGCCCTCATGGGCGCCGGCGACGCRGCCGCGCAGCAGCTGGTGGAGCGGCGGGGGCTGCAGGGACACCAGGGCGCCCGCACCGCCCGCATGGCGGCCATCGGCGCCTGCTTCGTGGTGAGTCCCGCGCGYGCCGGCACCGGCACCGGCACCGGGCCGGGCCGCAGGGCCAGAGCAGCGCCCAGCGCCCGCTCCGGCAGGGCCCCGTCCTGGGCACCTGGTACCAGCTCCTCGACCGCCTCGTCCCCGGCGCCACCAAGGCGGCGGCGCTCAAGAAGATGCTGCTGGACCAGGTGAGCGCGGGGCCGCGGCGCCTCGCGCGGGGCCCGTTAGCGGCAGTGCCACCGTCCCCAGCACGGCCCGTCCCCGCAGGGCGGCTTCGCGCCCTGCTTCCTGGGCTGCTTCCTCGGCGTGGCGGGCGCCGCCAACGGGCTCTCGCTGCAGGAGACCTGCTCCAAGCTGCGGCAGGTGAGCGCTGTGGGCTGCGGCACCGGCCCCCGTGAGCCCCATCCTGCGCCCCTGGCACCAGCTGCTCACGAGCCCCGTCCTGCGCCCCTGGCACCGGCTGCTCACGAGCCCCGTCCTGCGCCCCTGGCACCCGGGACCCCTCAGCAGCTGGGCCGGCGCCAGCGATCCCTCCCTGCCACATTGGGCGCTCCCAGTGCTCCAGGTGCTCGGGACACTCCGGGTGCTCTGGATGCTCCGGGCACCATGGACACTCGGGATGCTCTGGAAGCTCCGGGCATGCTGGCCCGGGCAGCCGCCCCCGTCCCTCCGCCCGCGCAGAGGAAGCGTCACCGGCGCATCCATCACCCCGCGCCCGTGCGCCCCGTTCTGGGCCGCCGGCCAGCGCTGGAGCAGAGCTGGGCTCGGGGCTGAGTCACAGCCCTGCGTGGCGGGACGCGTCCTGCGGCACCGCTGCCGCTGCGGCACCACCGCGGCCGGGGTGCAGTCCCCCGGCACCGGCACCCTGGCGGCACCGCGGCTGTGCCCAGCCCTGCACCGGGCTGCACCGGGCCGTGCCAACCTGCACTGGGCTGCACCGGGCTGCACCGGGCCGTGCCAACCTGCACCGGGCTGCACCGGGCTGCACCGGGCCGTGCCAACCTGCACTGGGCTGCACCGGGCCGTGCTGATCCGCACGGGGCTGCACGGCCACCCATGCACACGTGTAGCAGCCCCGGGCTGCGTGGTTGGGTCGTGGTCGGGGCAGGGAGGCCTGGGGGCCGCGGGGGCTGCGGTTCTGCGGGGCAGGTCCACACAACCTCCCCTCTCCCCAGGACTACGTGGACGCCCTGCTCACCAACTACTGTGTAAGTGCGGGCGCTGCGGGAGGCGCCGGCCCGTGTCCGCCCTGCGCTGCGCCGCTGCCCGGGGCGCCGCTGCCCGGGGCGCCGCTGCCTGGGGCGCTGCCCCGCGCCCGTCCTGCGCCCCTCACCTGCGGCTCCGCTCCAGATCTGGCCGCCCGTGCAGGCTGCCAACTTCTACTTCGTGCCCCTGAACCACAGGTAGGAGCAGAGCCCGGCCTGCAGCCCCCGGCCCCGCAGCCCCGGCCCCGCGGCCGCCCGCCCTGCCCGGCCCGCCCTGYCCCGCAGGCTGGCCGTGGTCCAGTGCGTTGCCGTCGTCTGGAACTGCTACCTGTCCTGGAAGGCGAATGGGCCGTGAGAGAAGCGGCCCGCGGCGCCGTGGGCACCAGCGTGGGCTCCCGCATCACCCGCCTCGGGGGCCGCTGCGGCCCTCGTTGCTCGTGTGTCCCGGGTCTGGGGGCCGGGGGCTGTGCGGGGCCGCCCGTCCCTGCACGGAGCCGGAGCCGGGGCTGGAGGCGGCTCCGCCTGCCCTGCGGGGCCGGGGGCAGCGTCGCCCCCAGGCCCTTTTCCGTCCTCACTCGCTCCCTGGCGCCTGCAGCTCGGGCCGCCCCTGCCCCGTCCTTGGGCGGCTGCCGGTGCCGGTGCTGCCCGGGCCCGGCCGGGCCGCGCTCCGGCTCCTGCCCGCCCTGCCCTGGCCCCGCAGCCGCTCGCGCTCCCGCGCCCGCCGGCGGCTGCAGCCCCAATAAAGGGTCGTTCCCTGCCGGATCTGGTGCCTGCGGCCTCTGTGGTTCTCGGGGCCGCTGCGCCAGGGCCGCCCCGCGCTGTGCCGGGGTGCGGAGCCCGGTGCGGAGCCCGGTGCGGAGCCGGGCCGCGGAGCCGGGCCGCGGAGCCGCCCTGGCACCTGGGCAGCCGCTGGCAGCCGCGGCGGAGCCTGCGCTGGAAGCGGCGGCGCCTCGCGCTGCCCTCGCACTGAGTCACAGCCCTGGCGAGCGGCTCCCGCGCTGCCCGGGGCCTGCGGCAGCGGCCCCGGCACGGAGCCACCCGGCCCGGCCCGGTTC